TGGTGTGTCAGCCACTCCTCCCAGTTTCTGCCCTGCGGTCTGAAAGGGAAGCAAACACTTTGTATGTGTTTAGATTTATTTCTGGGCTTCACCACGTGTATACACAATGGGCACATAATAATCCATGGGGATCTGGGTTGAGGTTTAGGGTCAGCTGTGTGGGCTAGGAAAGCCAAGGAAAATTCCTTCATAACAGCACAAGGAGTCTTCCTCGATGGGAAGGGGTTCTCCTCCATTAGAAGGAGGAAGGATGGACTGGGACAGGGGAAAGAGGCACCTCATACACAGCCACCTGTGCCACTTCTCCAGGGCACAGGGTAAGTGCGTGCTCTGGCAAACACGTGTGCAAGGCTGTCTTCTGGGGTTAATAAGTGCAATGTGGAATGGTCCCTTCACAGCCAGCATTACCCTGCAAGGCACCACCCCTTGTGATTTTCCAAGCAGAAAGGCACAGGACACAGCGGCTCTGGTGCAGCGTTGCAGGGCTTCACGGGATTACTTATTCACTGTGTTCTTGGAACAGCTCCAGGCTTCCCGTCTCTGCCTCCCGTGTACAAATTCATCAAGTATCCACAAGGCTCACAATCCCCAGAGGCAAGAGAAGACAGCAGGAAGGTGATTCATTGCAAATCACACGGTCTCTGAAGGACCTGCGGGGCTCTGGAAGGACCAAACTGGCATCCTCCCTTCTTCTATCTCCTTAACGCTTAATCAGGGTAATTAAGGCAGCAGGCGCAATCTGGATGGATTTCATTGCTGGGGCCATTGGAGGTAAATACATGAAGTAGTGCTTGTTGATGAAAGCAGATCACTGTGTTTCCTTCTTGTTCGGCTAATGGGCAGGTCTCTGGGGCAGAGCTGAGAGTTTTTTGATGGGGGACTGCTTGTTAAAAGTGCATTATTAAGTGTAAAATGTCATCAGAGCGGGTTCACAGAGCTGCTGGAGAGGCAGCACTGCAATTTGGTCCTCTGAGGTCATTGCCTTGCAATCTCCTCCAGTCTAATTGCAGCAGGATGGGGCAAAACTCTGATAGGAAGAGATGAAGCGGAATACATTGAGTGCAGATACAAGCTGGCTAGTATTACCCAGACAGCAAAACCTCACGTGTCTGGTGCCTGGGGGTCCTGCCAGGCTGTCAGGGTCATGGCTCTGGGGGGCTGAGGATGCAATTTGTGAGACGGGAGGGGTAGAGGCATGTCTTTTTGCAGTGAAAAAGCCTGAATGAATGACCTTTATTTTATCTAAGGATAAAATGTACTTGCAGCTGTGATGGTAATTTCAGTGCAGGCATGCTACGTAGCAGGCTTTGATCTGGGAGAAAGTAGGTTAGCTGTGTATAAAAAAAGTAGAAGGAGAAAAGTGTGATTTAATTGTAGACATTTTTAGAGCATGTACTGCTCAAACCCAGCTTTGTTTTAAACAACAAAATGTAGCCAGTGGTCTCATTTATTTTCTGACATCTTGTCAGATTTAGCAGAGTATCAAATACCAAGACGAAAGCGTTCGGGTTGCCGCTGCCAGAAAGGCCAGGTAAACCTGATGGATGGCTGAGAGAGCCAGCCCAAGCCTGCATGTCAGCTCTCACTTTGAGATCTCCTGAAATTTGGCAGTTTCCTTCACCAGGAGCAAACTGTGGTCTTGGTGCAGATGTGCATCTCCTGGGAAGGACCATAATGAGTTTTACCCTGCAGCCTCTTACTGCTCATCACCCAGAATGTGGAAGCAGGGCAAGGTTTGGCATCTCAGCAGCATGCAGCCCTGGAGGTGCCTGTTGCTTGGGGTGTTGGCCTTCCTGGGGTGCTGGGGGACTCTGGATGGGAAGGACCCTTCATGGGAGAGGGGAATATAACCAGTCCCTCTCCGGCAGCTTGCCTTTCTCCTCCCCTTTCCTTGCTGACTTTAAAGTACCCCGTGGAAGTGGTAGCCCTGTGCTGAGGCTGGCAATGGGACATCCATCCTGGAAGGATTCACCAAACATCCTCTGTGATGTCATGTTAATGGCTGGGCTCAGCTCAGCAGGGCAGTGACGGCTGTGTTTGCTGCTTGGACTCCTTTGCTTTTGTTGGCACAGTTGTAGTTGAGCCACTTAAGAATAAACTTCTTTTGCAAGGGAATGTGGAGAGCTGAAAATGTAGTTTCAAAGTGGTCATCTACCTCAGCCTTCTGAAGCTGCTCCCATGCAAGGTCATGGTTTGTGTAGTGCCTTGCTGTCCGCCGAGCTGTGCAGCAAGCTTCTCCCATGGGTGCCTTGGAAACGGGCTCAACCTGGGAGGATGCAGGCTGGAGAGCTCCAGCTGGGGCCAGAAATGTCTTTGCTTGTTTTAAGACACTTTACTGACACCAGGGTGTCAGAGAGCAAGATTTTCTATCCTGTCATCTGTGTCCAGCTCGAGGCTTTCCTAAGAGGGATAATGCAACTTTTCACTGGCAGACAGGGGTGTTTTCTGGCAGGCTGTTCCCTGCTGGGAGCTTGCACAGAGATGTGTGCGGGGTACCTGCTCAGGGCTCCAGGGCCGTGGTCCTACCCCAGCATGGGACAGCTTCCAGGGGTGGGACAGCTTTCCTGTGAGAACTGGGGTGGTTTTGGTGCTGAGCTTACTTCATGGGTCAGCATTGAGCCATGTTCTCGTTGTGCTTATTAGAGCTAAAGCAGTTTTTGTGTTCCCCAGGAGGCTGCAAACCCAGCTGAAGTGCATCAAACAACTCAAGAGGCAGCACAGATAACAGGGTTTCTTTTAGTTAATTACATTCTTGTGACCTTGATCTGTTTTCAGAGTGTTTTGGTCAAAACATGGCTTGAGCACTTCTGAAAACAGCAGAGATGCTGCCCTTTTGAATCCCAGTGATCCAGCCTGGCTCAGGCACCTGCACAAATACTGTGCATCTCCTCTGAGCTATTGCTTCTGTGGGCATGGGACAAGCTCAGCATCTTCAGCCTGGGAAACAGTGACCTGCTGTGACTCCAGATGGAAACAACTTGAAAGAAACATGCTTGGTGACTGTGGAGACTTTCAATAACCAGTCAATGGGGCTGGATTTTGTGGAAAGCAGCTCATCCATAAGGATGTCTTTCCTGACCAATGAAGCCGAGCAGGAGATTGGACTAGAGACCTCCCAAGGTCTCTTCCAACTTGAAATTTCCTGTGATCCCACGTGTATTTTCTAGCCCTGCTACTCCAGCAACCTGGGCCATGGCAGGGGATGGGTATTGATGATTAGGGCGATTGATGACTAGGGGATGACTTGACTGCTGTGCCAGGCACAGAGATTTGGGAAGGAGAAGCTGAGGGTCACCCAACAGTGCCCTGCAGCGGTGGTAGAGCAGCAGGGTCTGCAGCATGCCCAGGCTTCACCACATCTTACTGCAAGGCTACACACCAGTCACATGCAGTCCAAGCAGAGATAAAGTAGTCCACCTACGGAGGGAACATGCCGTCACCTTGTCCTTACAGCTAAAGCAGCTCTTGCTGGCCACTGCCAGGTTCACGCTACTGGATGAACTGCAGCTTGCTTAGGGTACGGGGCACTTTTTATGTTCCCAGCTCTTCACAAAGTAAAGGTTTTTGGAAGTTGCTGTCTAGCCATCCAGGGGCTGGGCCATGATCCCTGCTTCTCTCTGGCTCTCTCAGACAGGGGTTTGCAGCAGCCTGGCGGGCTCCATATGACTGCCGCTTGCTCTCTGCTGATTTCCATTGCAGTGGCCACCCTGCCAGCATCCTCCTTATTTGAATTGCCTGGTCAAAGTGGCCTGACTTGTGAAGAGACTGTGAGTAATCCAGTTTTGTCTTTGCACTGTGTCTGTGTGCACAGGATGCCGCAACCTCTGCGCGATACCTGAGAACGTGTCAGATAAAGTAGGCATAAAAAATGGCTCACTACAACCCAGCGAAGATCATTCACCTGGTTTTGCCATTTATTTCTGTCACAGCTGGTGCAGCGTTACTCAGCAGGAGCCCCACAGGATCCCTCTCCTGTATGCATGCTATACATTGCTGGCCTTGTTTGATACTGCTGTGCAAAGAGGGCATGTGGGGGTCATGCTATCTTTGTCCCAGGCTATTTATATTGTGTGACATTGTGCAGAGCCCTTCTTTCTCAGCCTTTGATGGACTTGGCTGAGCTCCTCAGCTCTGACAACTTAACTGCTCAGAGTGCCTTGGCTCTTAAGGAGTGCAGTTTGTTGCAGGCTGTAGTTGTTCGGAGGTTTAGGGTAGGAGCAGTGAAAAATTTACCCTTATGGTCTCCTCCCAAGTGGAGATGTTTGGTCCTTGCTGGACCCAATGTGAGCAGGAGCCTTTAGGACTGAGAAGCAATGGGAAATAGGCTGGTTTGGGGCAAACCTGCTTTATTTCGTCTATGTTACTGCTGTCTCTGCATCTTAATGTGTGAACAGGGTAATCTCTCTGGAAGGGAGGACACTTGTTGAACACTGACCCAGTTCAGCCTTGGCACCTGACGTGCACAAGACAAGGCTTCTACCTTCCTGAGCTGGTGGAGCAAGCCATGGCTTAGCTGTGTAAGGCACATGGTGTCTCCATATCACCAGTGTGGGATCAGCCCACATCCGCTGCCTCTAAAGTTCAGGAAGTCTGAAAACGATGCGATGCCAGAGCCTCCTGGCTAGGAAGGGTTCTTGGGCCAGGGGACAGCACCTCTGAGGTCAGCACAGTCACACTGACACTGCTCTTCCCTGGCTGGCGGGGTCTGTGTTTGCAGTCTGCCTCTGGCTGGTGGCTGGGAATCTGTGACAGTGCAGGTGACCCTGGGTGACATTGTGTGTTGTCACTCTCTGTTCAGACCAGAGGCATTGCTCCTTCGAGCTGTATTACTGTGCCAGTGTGTTCCCCTGGCTGTCTCTCTTCCAACCTGATCTCATTTTGGTTTTGAAATACGTAAGGTGGCTTCTTGGCCCATTTTTGCTCTTCATTGCTATTTATCTGGTGGCAGATTTGATAGAGATTTTTGCAGCACAAACTTCATTTTTCTTCAAGCAAGATGCTGTTCGTTGTTTTCTTCTGAGTAATGCGCCTCGGGATTGTTTCCTGGTGACTCACACCACCAGCAGCTGCTGCTCTTTTCCAAAATGTAATGCAGCTTTCCAGAATTCCCAAGCAGCCATGTAACCGCAGATGAACATGCTTAGTGAAGTGCTCACAGTGATTAACACATTTTTAAGTATCTCTCTCTCTCTCTTTTTTTTTTTTTTTTTTTTCTTTTAGAAGGACTCCGAGAGAGGCAGTTTCCACCAGACCTACTCTGACTGCCCAGCTCCCTGAAGGGCTCATCCAGCACTTCTGTAACTTGATCTCTGGCTAAATAAACTCACAAATAAACTAAAGCTCCGTCATCCTCCGGCCTGATTTCCTCTCAGATGACTTGGCAGTTGGTGTAAGGGGAAGAAGTTAGCTAGTCAGCCCTTTTATCATCTGTTGTATTGGCCAGCAAATGCATTTGGATTAGAGCTGAGAAATGCACTGGAGATAAAGGCAGGGACGGTGGCTGATCTGTCTGTTGCTGTGACCAAGAGAAGCCCATGTCGGGGTTCTTTCATTCTCCTTATCTGCCACTAAGGCAATAACTTTGTCTCATAGGATTAATGCATTCCCCACTCCAGCAGCTATATTAAGGTCTCGAAATTAGCCTGGGTGTTGACAGAGGATTGACAAACCCCCCAGCACCCTGAGTCGTGGTCAGCTGGCATGTGGGGCGTGCTGCGGAGCACGTGGCTTTGTGCATGCCCATCGCTAATCCCTCGCTGCCACTTAATCCTGCTGAGCCCTGGGCGGCCGCGGGTGGGTGGTCCCACTGCGGAGCAGCACCACCGGTTGTGCTGTGCCCCAGTGTCACACCAGCCTGTCAGAGCTCCAAACTACCTTTGCTTTTGCTCCTTGCTCTGCTTTTGCAGCAGTCTCTGGTTCACATAGGAGATGCACTTCAGAGGCTTAGTCCAGCATGGTTCCATGGACCCTAATGCCCAATGAATTCCTAACCCAGGGCTCTAGATGTGCTTTGTAAGCTTCAGCCAGGACATGTCCTGTCTCTGGTGTGCAGGAGGCAGCAGAAGTACCTCTCCTGTCTTCAAGACAGATTGCTGAGAACCTGTAATGCATGAGGACCACCCCTGTTTTATAAATGTCCTTGTGACTGCTGCTTTTATTCCTTAATGTTTCCGAGTCAAGCATGGAAAACCAGCATTGCTCCAGAGACCCTGTTGTGTGAGTGGGGATGCTCTGAGGGTGCTTGGCCACAGTCAAAGATGCTTTACTGCCTAAGCTGAGAGGGGGAATGAAAGCAGGCCCATATCATACAAGTCATTCCTTCAACCTTCCTGCAGCAGTGCTTTCTCTGTTTCCCATAGTCCCAGCTTGCACCATGGTGTTATTCCTCCCAATAATTTTCCTGGGATGCCTGGATTCCTCCTCTGAGTGTGCCTTGGTCACACAGAGAAAACTGCACATTTTGCTCTGTCATTCTTGGCTCAAACGTCATTGCTGGGGCTTGAGAGAGGTCTGGTGCCAAGCACGGCAGGACTCTGAAGCTGCATTTCTCTGCTGTTCCCCTAATGACTTCCTACGATGGGGGAAAGCAGTCTGCTGCGCCGTGCACTGTTAACCATCTGCAATATGCTCTCTGTTTCAGGTGGTCTAAGCACAGCAGTGGGTTATCCGCTGGACACAGTGAAGGTACCTGTTGAAGCTTTATTTCTTAACTACAGACTGAAAACAAACAGGCCCTTTTAGTTTTTCCCTCCCTTTTTAGAAAACTAGTCCCATGATAATGCTTTCATCTTTGTTACATCAACATATTTCACTTTATTTGGTTGTGTTGTTTTTACCTTAAAAGAAAAAAGTAAATTATTTGGGGGTACTATTTTATGGCTAATTAACCAGTTTGCTGCTGTGGCATTTGTTGATTTTGTTTTTAATCTGATGCCTGCATTTTAAAGTTGTCCCTGTATTCCTAGGTGAGAATTCAGACTGAGAGGCGTTACAATGGGATTTGGCATTGCATTCAGGAAACATACAGGACAGAAAAAGTAGGTACCTGTCATCAGAATTGCTGATCCCAGTTATGGATGCCTTGTGTCAGAGAAGCAGAGCCACCTTTGTCAGTTTGGGGAGGACAGGCGGCAGTTACATACACCCATTTGTTAAGAGAAGGGTCAGGATGAAATTTAGCTTTGTTGATGAGCTGTAAGATGGGAGCAAGTTTTGTCTCAGCAACGTATGGCCAGTGTCTTTAAGCAGATGCTTTCCCATGCTACTCCCTCGTAAAAGTGTTCCTTTTCCTCTGTTTCCAACTAGGTTTGGGGATTTTACAAAGGTATGTCTGCATCAGTCCTCTCAGTATCGGTGATTTCTTCTGTTTCATTTGGCGCATACAAAAACTTCCTTTGCACCATTTGCAAGCTGCGATACGGGGCTGCGGACGCAAAGCCGTCCAAGCTGGATGTTTCCCTCGCTGGAGGCGCTGCCGGCGCTGCCCGGGTAGGTAAACAGCCGAAAGGGAAAGCACAACAAGGGATCTTGTTCACAAACACAAGAGTCTGGAAAAGCAGGGAATGTTTTCTGTCCAGGAGGCCACAGGGGAGCCGGCAGCAAGTCCGGTGGCTTTGTTTTCGCAGGGGGTCACCTCCTCACTGGTCGGCTCCACGGCATGGCTGTGTCCTGCCGGGGGCTGGTGCTGGATTTGGTTTAGAGTGCCAAAATACTTAAGAACATGCTATTAAGAATGACATGGACCTTGGCAGCAAATGCGGAAAAAGGAAGAAAAAGAAGCCAGGCAGCAAACTTTCTAAGTGTCTCTGAGGGTATGTTTACGTAAGACAGATGTAGCTCGATGTGTTAAAGCACCGGCCAGCACACTGACTGTGGCTGCACGAGCCTGGCATGGTGTTGCTGTAGAATTGGGCAGTACATGGCGTGTCCTTGTCAGGGTGCAAAATTCAACAGGGCATCACTGACAAGTGATGCTGCCTGGCAAATGTGCACCATCCCAGGACAGGGAGGTGAGGCTGAATCCAGGAGCAGTTTCCCGTAAGGAGATGGATTTCTGTGAGTGTGAACATGGCAGAGGTTACCCCAGCTCCCTGATGGTGTGCTGGGCAGAAATGCGTCACCGACCAGTCACAGGCAATCCTCTTACAGAGCAGTCCAGATGGTCGGGTTTATAGGTGTTTCCTAGCCAGCAATGACTCTACTTAACACAGGTTAATTTTGTTAAAGTCTTTATGGCCTTGGTTCCAAATATGGATACATACAAGAGACTTGATGTATGCTACCCTCTAGCTGAGGACATCCCCTTTCCATGCCTATCTGGTTTAATAAGCTGTTACAAGTATTTAATATCCCCTGTTGATTTCTGCCTCACCTTCCACTCTGCATGGTGCAGCTCACACCTCTGTCCTGCTGCTGCTGGGTGGGATTTAGCACAGGCAGAGGGGAGGAGGCTGGAACTTGCTGGCTTCAGGCCATATTATTGCCTGAAAAGGTGTGAGACATGGAATTTGCAGGAGGAGGATCAAAATACTATTTAAATGCGAAGGCTTAAAATGCCATCTTCTGATGTTACAGGTTGTATTGATGACCCCCAGTGAAGTGGCTAAAGTTCGCATGCAGACTCAGAGGAACCCACATCCTTCCGTCGCGTCTCCCCACCTTGTTTCCAAGCCAAAGTACCGAGGATCTCTGCACTGCCTGAAGGTGATCGCCAAGGAGGAAGGTTTTGGAGGTCTCTACAAGGGCTGTTCTGCATTACTGTGCAGGGATTGCTCATCTTCTGCAGTATTTTTCCTTACCTATTCTGCCCTGTGCGACTGGCTCACACCAGCCGGGAAAAATAAACCAGGTAGGGCTTGGAAAGCATCTGGCATCACCTGCAAGAACAGCTTATTTAGTGCCACACTAAGAGGGAAATCAGGCTCTCAGCAAACATCACCCAGTACCTATAAAACCTCACCCAGCTCTGGTCCTCGTGTGGGGTTGCTGTGTGCCAGCAGCTGCGAGTGAGGGCTTCGCCGGCACGACCTCGTCCCCCAGCAGCTACTCCTCTCCCTGCAGAGGGGTGCTTACAGCACGCTCTAGTGCCTAGTACGCAGGCATGAAATCCTCTTACTGCAGAAATAGGATATGTAACTAGAAATGAAACATGGACAAACCTCCCAGGAGCCATCATGGAGCATGGATCAGGGTCAGTCCAGAGTCTGAAAATAAAGTGCAGATGCAGACATAAGACACTTAAAACACAAAAGACACATTAAGACACTTAAGTTTCCTGGTTGTGATTTGGCTCAAAAAACCAACTGTCCCTTTTGAGAAAAGATCCAGTAGGTGACATTAAGCAAAGAGCATTATAAAATTATAAAAATAAAGCAGACCCAGCTGAAGAGGGTGTGAGTGCTCTCAGGCTGCATCACATCCAGTTCATGTGGTGTTAAAATAGATGCTGCCTTTGCATGAGTTGGTCTGATATATGCAAAAATGAGGATACTGTGAAATTGAGAGGTCACACCGTTTGTGTGAGATCACTGGAAACACACAGCTGCAAGAACTGGAAAAAATAACTGCTGAAAAACGTGAAAATTAATCAAGCTAACAAATCTGAGATGCTTGTAGCCGTATCAGTGCAAGGTTGAAGTTAACTGCTCCTCCCTTCACTCCTGCAGGTTTCCTCGTTGTGCTGCTTTCTGGTGGTTTTGCTGGAGTCCTGGCCTGGGGATTAGCTACTCCCCTGGATGTCCTCAAATCACGGATGCAAACAGATGAATCAGACCAGCACAAGTACAAAGGCCTCATCCACTGTGCTAGGGAAAGTGTGAGAAAGGAGGGTGCAAAAGTGCTTTTCAAAGGACTGGGTTTGAACTGCATTCGTGCCTTTCCTGTGAACATGGTGGTGTTTGTAACGTATGAAGCTGTACTGAGATTTACAGATCATTATACAAACAAAAAATAGCTTGTCCCACTCTGTTCAGAGGTGTAGTTTGTTTAGGTTGTTTTTTGTAACAACATTCACAAACAACTGCTGAATGCCGTCTCCTTTGATGGACAGCATAAGAAGCACGGACATTTCAGCACAAAGCTGGATGACTGATGGCTTTGTTTTGTTCTTATAGGATTACAAACTCATCAGGGAGCCTTGGATTTATATACAACCTCCCTTTTATCTTGTTCATGTATTTAGACTGTAGCCATTGCTTTGGCCCTTGAAATATTTGCAAATGTTTATGTTCTAAAAAGCTGCTAGTCTGAGCAGAGATTTTGGTTTCTACTGGCACAGAAAATGATCTTCATGACCAAGGCAAAAGCTGGGAGGAGTTTGTGTAAAATTTAACACTACGCAGTGTGTGCTGTTTACATGCACTGCCTGTATTGCATTCATTGAGTAACTTACGTAGTTGTGCTTCAGGCTGCCACTTTTCCTTCCCAGCTGTAATTTTCCCAAAGTACTCTACAATTACATCCCTTTGGGAGCAGCTGAAATATGAATCTCCTTGCTTTTTCCTGTCATTATTTAATGAGTGGCAGACACGGTGTGTTTACATAATCACGCTAATGGCCTCTTTGAACGTGAAACCAGGCGGGGTTCCCATAAGCCATGTGATTTGCTCCCTGTGCAGCCCTGAGCCCTGAGCATCAGTCCCCTCCCGGAGGCACGGTAGCTCTGCAGAGCTTGGCACAGCTTGGGAGGCAATCTGTTCTCATCCTGGCAGGAGGGTAGGAATAGAAGCAAAACCTCTCTGCTTCTCAAAGGAAAGGCTGCCATAAAATCTGTGCACTACCAGGGTTAGGCAAGTTACAGGAGAATTGCAATGTTGCAGGGTATAATTCAGATTTACAACTCTTAAAATGTGCATTCTCACTTTAAACTACAGTGCTAGGAGCAGTCAATGTTGTGGTTTTTTTTTTTTTTTTTGGTTAAAGGTACATTTTGATAGAATTTTGTTACAACTATTTCTTTTCACAAAGGTATAAAGTTTCATCAATATCAGTTAAAAAAAACCCAACACCCACACTTGCTTCAGAAGGAAAGTCCCTAAAACCAGAAATACTTTAATTTGCTCATCCCACCTCAAGAGCAGCATAAATGCTTTCTGTCTCCATTTTAATCCCTGGATGATGACATCTGGAGCGGACTGGAGCCAGCCCCCATCACATTCTGTTGAAAGTGCGCTTTTTTGGAGGGAAATATTTTTAAAGGATTTCTCGCATTCAGGGTTGATGTCCTTACGGGTCCACAGCCGCTTTTACCAGTTGATAGCATGGCCTTGATGACACTGGCAGTAATTTTGCAGGAGACACAATTTGTCAGCTATGCTGGACATATAAGAAAGGGATCTTGTATTAGAAGGACAAGTTTAAAAATTTCAGGTGCTACTAGAAAAGAATAAAGGGGACCATCTCCACTTCAGAGAGTGACCAGTAAAAAGCTCCAGAACTGTCCTCCTGAAATCTAAGCCTTCAACTAGCTTTTTAAACATGTTCACAGCCATGCTATCAAACAACTATCATAATTATTTCTCTCAAGAGTCCATCCAGCTCTTGCAGCTCATCTAAAAACAGTCTTAGGAGACCAGACGCAGTTGCAGAGTATGTCACCTTAAAGAGGAGTGAAATGAAAGACCCAACGCTGAACCCAATTCTCTCCCAAAGTGTTTATGGCCTGAGAAACCTACCACCTCCTGTTACATCTTGAGGCATCAGCACTAAACTTTTTTAATCAGAAAGTCCTTATAACAGATTTAATTAAGTCCTGAAGATTTGGAATTCCTCTTAACATGGTTCTTAATTCTACTACCCTCTTTCTACAAGGGACGCATTTGACCAAGTGCTGTCCCAGAGGGGTAGTGGTTTATCCCAGCTCTGTCTGTATGTTTTCTGGAATCAAACTCAAACTTTATGCTGTGTTACTCCCAGCCAACCTTGTTCTCAGACATTACATCCTCTGAACAGAGACAGTAAGAAAACGCCTGCAAATCAGACTCAGCAACCATTTATTGTTAGGCAGTGTTGATCCATGGTCAGCCCAAGGTTTGAAATAAAGCAGCACAGCTTTCCTAATCGGCTCATACATTCAGATGACTAAAAATGTCTCCTGTGGGTGTAACTGAAATACAGGAATTACAGATGCATTGTAAAAATGAACAGGAACAACTGTGGAAGCCAGTGCAAGGGGCTGAGAACTGCAAGCCTCAGGGTATTCAGCACCATATAAAAGCAAATACTACATGAGAGGCTTGAACAAATACTACATGAGAGGTAAGTTGTATCTTCAGGCAGCTTATTTCAGGAAGGTAACAGCTTTGCAATCCATGCTGTTCATAAACCTTTACTGGAAAAAAAATACACAGTGTATGGGTGACAACCTGCCTTAGAGCAAGAACTCACAGCTAATTCACACTGACACAAACCACCAACAGGAACAGGAATTGACTGTACAAGTACCGTAAACACAGGCACATAAATACAAACCAATTTTTGTTTACTGACATGACACATTGTACATATTATGTACATACACATTGAGCCGGGTGTTTTGCTTCTGGATTTCAGAACCTGACTGCTTTATTTTCTGATTGTTTTTACTACCTTGACCTTCAGCTACTCTGATAATCACGGAACTATTCATTCTGATAAATAAGCTTGCTGGAGGCCAGCTAACAGAATGAAGACACCACATCAGCTGTGCTGATATTGGATTTATACTGCTATAAAGACTGCAGCTTGTTGTATAGATGATTTATTTCAGTAACAAAGTTGGTGGCCTTGCAAAAAAGAAAACTTTCTTTAGAAGGCACATTCTGCCTCATGTATTCATGTTGCTGGTAATTCCTGTTCTCTCTGACAATGTTTATGAATATCCAAGTAGGTTTCAGCATGCCTCTTGGCCATGTGAAGCTATTCAGAATCTGTGCTCTTCAGACAACAGCAATTGTGGACTATCATGTTTCCACTTAAGTATTGTTTTTTATGCCAAACGCACTGAAGCGTCCTTGTACGTTTGGGTCACATTGACCTTCCCCTATTTCTGAGCTGGCTGCTGTATACTGGGAAATTTAGCATTCATTGCTTGCGACCAGTTAATCTTTGGAAAATTGACCCTTATGAGCTTGCTCTGGGAGCAATCTGTAGTCTACCTGGTAGGACCGGATAGAGTGGGTTGTAAGGCACCCTACTGCACTACCTGGAAGGCACTGGACATCAAAACAAGGACCAGCTCCAGCACATGACTAAATCAACACCTAAAAGGTTAGAAAGAGAGGTAAAAAATAGAGTAAGTGTAAAGTAAGCCTTTAAAAAAAGAAAAAAAAGAGTAAAATCAAGGACATTTGATACAGACTTTTATCTAAATTTTTATTACAGTGAGATGAACAATATACAAACAAATTGAGGAAAATGCAATGAACATTGCCTAATAACATTCCTAGACATTTCACACATCCTTTTGAAGACTGCCTTGTCTTGACTTTTTAATAGCTCTGGGACATGAATTGTCATTACAACAGATTTAGGAATTTGCCAAGACTCCTCTGAGAAATTGTATCATTTCTGAAGCGTGTTTGCAAGAATCCAACAGAGTACTTGAGTAAGGTGCTTGCTCAGTAAACAAATACTAAATAATTTAGCTATCACTTTCCTTTCTAGAACTTTCAAAACAGATTTTAATTGCTGGGTTATAAAATTAATCCATGTGCTTAGTTAGGATAGAACACATCACTGTTCTTCTACAACATATTTCCCGTTCCTGAATAAATAGATGATCTTTAAGGTCCCTTCCAATCCAAACCATTCTGTGATTCTATGAAATGAAATAAATCTTGCAGGACAGATCTGCATATAATATTTTAAAGAAATTTGCATTATGAGTTCGTAAAAGCCCTTTAAAAGTCAATTTAAGTCATATTTTATGTATAGTTTAAAGATGGCAAAGAGTGGACTGCAAGAACAAGAAGGTTATCATTAAAGTCTACAGTAACCAAGAATTAGTTACTAATGGATTTAAGAAGCTATTTTTCTTTTCTAAGAATTGCTCCACCACTTTTAAAACAAAAAAAGCCTTTCTACTGATTGCTAAACACTTGTTAGCACCTAGCTACTACATCTGTAGGTTATAGAGACAGTTGCTGGTAAACACTCGCTTTAATACATTAAAGTCAACAGCATTAGATTAGTGATGCCAGCTCACATAAACTGTGAGCTAAGCATTGCTATTTTCAGCACAAGTTTGAAACACATACAATAGGACTAAACGTGCCTTGCATTTCAGTCTTTCCTTGGTTCCTTGCACAAACATAAACTAACAGGGGCACTTCACATACAGCTTGGCACACAGGTATTTCTGCCTCGAAAATGCAGGGTCATTGCTGGAGAGGACGTGTATGCTGCGTTACAGAACTGCTACGGGTGGGAGGGCAGCAGCACCAGTTTCAGGCAGCACAAATAGCCCAGCACGGTCCTGTCAACTAACAGGCTGATTCAAGCTCTACTGAAGTCAATGAGAAGCCTCACCCTTGAGACTTCTCCCTCAACCCAATCCTCATCAGTTGACTTCAAAGGTTTATGATAAAATTAAAAGTGTGGGTTTTTTGCTTTTAATTTTATTTTTTTTTAAGAATGTTACACGGTGATATATGTCCACTAGGCCCCACAGTAGAGAACCTGTTAAAGTTTAAATTTTTCACAGCTCATTCAAGTGCCTTCTTTATATTTTTTAATGATTTGCAAATACCACATATCAATACCTACCTTTGTGTTATCAAAGGTATTTTTATTTGATGTAGATAAGACTATGTTTGAGCTAGCAACTTTCTATTCTATATAAATACAAGCCAGACCTAACAGTTTGCATTCAGCACTGTACATATTAAAACAAATTAGCTAATAATTTTAATTTGTCTTCCATAAATCATAGCAAAGACAATGAAGTTGTTTTTAAGAAAGGAAATAATTAAATAT